AGGCAGTCATTGACTGTAAAGGATTTGCAACCAAGTATTAAAACTGACTGTTTAATTGATGATTATGTTAGTTTGTCCAAATACTTATGAGCCCTTAAAGTCGGGGGACTGTGTGAAGAAATGGTTGTAATTCCTACACGGTTCATAATACATTTTTGAAAAAAGCCTTAAATGAAAGCTGAGAGTCTGCACTTTAAGCAGGTATTCATTGTTTCATTTAAAACCCATTGTGGTGGTGTACAGAGCCAAAATGATGACAACTGTATCATTGTCCAAATAATTATGGACTAGACTGTATATATATATATATGTAAAGTAAGAACAGGATGCAGGAGAAAAACTAAACTCCAAACAAGTGAGATTCAGTTAGAAGCTACAACAGTACTGAGAGCTGAACACACACACAGACTTTTAAAAACACCAGTCTGTGTGGTCTCCTGCCAACAGAGGTGAGTTCAGTGTCACAACACACAGGCTTGATTGAGGGGTCATCAGGGGTTGCCTGCGGTAGATGAGACATTACCGCTACCCGCTTGAGGGCGGGCAGCCCAGCTTTTGGCTCTGCCCTGGAGAAGATCCATCTTAGGCACAGCTTGGTGGCACGGCCCGCCAAAATGCTAATTGAAACGGAAATCGGCGCAAACCAAAAGTGAGAGTGGAAAAGGCTCACACTATTGTACATGTGTTACTGCTGTCATGTCATTCATTTCACAGACTGATTTAGCGTAGCACGTGCAACATATAGACTGATGTCGCACTGCAGACTAATTAACAGACAGATTAAAGAGAGGGGCAGCTCTGTGTCTCTCTTAGTTGAGTGAGTTAGGCGGAGCTGTGCGGAGAGTGTGAGAGGAGAGATGAACACTGGTATGCGTTATGGAACGCAACTTGATCCTGTATCGATATAAACGGTATTGTCTAAATCTATATCTTGCTTGAAAATATATCAATATATCGTACATGGTCATTTATCACCCAGCCCTAATTGACACTGCCAAACAGGTGTTAATTTAATTGTCTGCTTTAGCATTGAGGTCAGAGTTAGTGGTGGGGTTGTACTGAACAGCATTATACTTTGAGGTATTTCTGTTTTTTTGGTCCTTTGCATTTACATACATGAAGGCGTCAGAATATTAGAAACACCTCTCAATGTCAGCAGCAATTTCTGTAACTTGCTAAAATGGTGACATTATGTGGTGACTGGCCAGGTGTGCAGAGGTGTGAAAGGACCAGGATTTGAACTTGTTCTTTTTTCAGTCTTTACACAACTACTTCCATCACATTGTGTTTAAACAACAGAGTGCATGAACATAAATGCCTTCAAAGAGAGACGGTCCAAAAAGTACATATAAGCATTCTATATGTGACAATTAGAACTAGGGAAATTATTGCTTCACTACCAGTGTGAAAAGAAGGATTAATTACGGCAACCAACATTTTTGCAATCTATTCACTGCCCTCCCCACTCACCATGTTGTTAACATTTTTGAGGATGGTGGTGAGGCCGCTGATGACGAGGGAGAACTTGTACTTGGAGATGTTGATCAGACATTCCTTGTTGTGCTCTGTGCTGACTTTGGTGTGGGTGTTTTGGTGTCCAACTTTAATAGGAAGCTGAAGGAAAAGACAAGACAGAGTGATGATGCAAACAACATATCACATTACAGTGAAGCCAATTCACCATTACACAATATTACACTGTGCTTGAAAGCATTGTTAGCTTTGCCATGTATATACAT